TTCAGTCCACCTAGCTATCCAGCTTGCTTCAGGGATCCCCTATCTTTGCCTCCCAAATGTTAGAATTTCAGGCTGGCTGCAGAACCCTCACCAGCATTTACGTGGCTGCTGGAGAGCCTCATTCTTGTCTTCACGCTTGCATGGCAAGCCCTTTATCCACCGAGCCACACCAGCTTCTCCTCCCGATTCTTTTTTGTTGATTCCCTCCCCAGTGGTAGCAACTCTGCTTCTACTGCAGGGATTCCCTTGAGGGTCTCGTAGGTGATGCCACTTAACACTCCCCTGCCTCTCAGGCAGGAGGAAGCTGTTTACTCTACTTCCTCTCTGCCTCCTTGCCCTTCTCCTTCCCTCCCTCTTTGCTGGGATGCTGTACAAGTTCTGTAGAGACTGAGCAGAAATACGTGGAAGCAATTATTGTCTGATTGTAAACAGAAGCCCGCAGCACTGCCACAGGGAGCCCCTTCAACCTGCAGCTAAAGGCTGGAGCCTGGGGCAGAAGAAAGGAGAGGGAATCCCCACCAGCCATCCTCATGGAAAGAGCTCATTCTATGTTTTATTTCACCCTTGTTTCTTGGCAGCTCTACTTTCTTTTGCTTCAACCTCCTTGCATTGTAATGGAAGGCATAAAGGGGAAGAATAAAGCAAACCTACCTGCTGGGGAAGTTGGACACTTAGTAAACCACCATCCATCCTCCTTCCTCCTTGGAGGCATTAGCATGCCTTGAGCAAAAGCCTGCCCCTCCTGCTACTCTGCATCAGCCTCCTCTCATATCCCGGTGCCAAGAGAGGAGACTGCAAAGTCCCACGAGCAAGCTTGAGTCCTCCCTGCAGGACTTGCATTTGCTTGTCTAGTGGCTGTCTTTCTGGCTGAGCGCCCACTCTTACCAGGTTCAATTACCTAGTTCCCAGTTAGATGCTGTGGTTATGGGGTTCACTGATCCAGACCACTCCAGCTAATACACACATAGAGGTATAATGGCAATAGGGAATAGGAGGTCAAGGGTAGTCCGGGACCACTTAGAGTAACAGCAGAGAGAGGACCTTCAGAATGCCCTGAGATGACACATCCCTTGCAGTTGAATTTAGAAACTGATGTTTCTGCTAATGGTCCAGAGAGACATCATCACAAGCGTCAGCTGCTGTGTATCTAAGATGGAGGCAGTTGAACAATGGCCTGGCTTTTGGGGGAGTTCATGACCACCGGATGCAAATAAGGAGAAAACTCCATGGGTTAGACTTAAACTGCTTCACTCACTGGAGTCCCGTTGGTAGATTAAAAACATAT